GAGAGAGAGAGAGAGAGAGAAAAAGAGAGAATTTGAGTTTAAAGCTTTCAGAGACATGTAGATGGAGAGAGAGAGAAAGTGAGTTGAGAGAAATAGAGAGAGAGAGTATGAGAAAGGGGAAAGAGAGAGAGTTAAACATTCCAGGTTCATGACATTAAATCTATGTTAGTTCGTTTTTTCTGTATTTCTATTTTTTATGTCCGAAACACTTTTTACTTTAAATGTAGTTGTCTAAATCGTATGATATATACAACTTAGGACGAGGGAGAAAAGGAGAGAGTGAGAGAGAAATATTTAAACAGAGGGAGGGGGAGAGAGAGAGAATGATAGGGAGGGATGCATGGAGGGGGAGAGAGAGAGTTAAAGTTTTCAGGTACATGTATTTGATTGATAGAATATGAAGTTACCGACTATAAAGAAAAACAAGAAGAATATGAAGTCAAAGAGAACAAAGAAGACGAAGGCGATGAAGAAGAAGAAGAAGTAGAAGAGGAAGAAGAAAAGGATAAGATGTGGAAAACACGAAGAAGAAGAATATGTGATAAAAAAACCTAAAAAAATAAGAAATAAGAAAATACACAGAATGAAGAAGAAATAAAAGAAAATGAAAGGAAACTAAGAATACGTGAGAGAAGAAAGAGAGATAAAGATTGAAGACTATGAAAAAAAACAAGGAAAATATGATAAAGAAGAAAAATTAAAAAATAAATAAGAGGAAAAAAATGATGAAAAACGATTATGTGGAGACGAAGAACTTACTTTTTTCTTACTTCAATTGGTTTGTGAATTTTATACATTTATTTGGTAGGTATTTAGGTCTTTAGGTTTTTAATTTTAGATAGTGTTTATTTTTGGATTTGTTTTATTTTATCATGTATGTCTTAAAACATTTTTGTTTTAATTTTTTTAAAAATCAGTTTATAACATTATGTTGTACGTTTTTAAAATTTTGATGCACACGCAAGGCGCGAACCAAACACCTAATAAATTCTCAAAACCCTAAATTCTTTAAACAATAGACCCTTGTAAGAGACCCCAATGTGATGCCCTAACCCATTTTTATCTCTTTCACGTGATGTGCACATGTTTCACTAACCCTTCTTCTTCTTCTTGATTCGACAAACTTCTTTAGATCGGAAAATTCGCTTAACAACAACATCCGCAAAACTCTATGATATGCTTCGATGCTCATTCTCCCTCTTGACACAAACATCTCCTTAATCGATTCTCACCTTCGATTTTTCAGGTCTGATTCGTTTCTCGATTTTTTCTGGGTTTCTCCTTCTTTGCGACGAAAATTTAGTTTGGATTTTGCTTCTCAATGAATTCTCCTTGATCAGGCGAGATTTCTTTATAATCTCTTCACAGCTTATGGGTATGATTGATTTCTCTCTCAAAATTTTGTTTACGTAGAAGCTCCTGATTGTCCTCATCAGTTCTCTCTGTTTTTGCCGTCATTGATGTTTCGATCAGTCTTCATTGGATCTATTTCTTTGTTGAGTTTTCTCTGAAATTGAATGTGTCTCTGTCTGATTTTTGTTGATCACATCTTGATTTCTTCATTCATAACAAGTCTCCAGTCTTTTTCCTTTACATCTTCTTTGAAACAAAACTCTTCCAATTGATTGCTTTGTTCTTTTCTTTGCTTTGTTCATCTCTGTCTTCAAGTCTGTTTTCTTGCATCTGTAGGATCGCTACTACGAATATTTCACTGATGTCAAGTTTAACAGTGAGAAGGGTAACAGGTGAAGATATAAAACTGGTAACAAAAACATCGCTTTACTTCTTATAATGAATTTTCATGTTTCTCTCGAAAGTTACAATCATTTGCATATTTTGATTGGTTTCCTAGAGATTGCATTTGTTGGTTTGTTAGAGATTGTATCTTTGTGCATTCTTTGAGAATGCGATACAAATTGTCTTTCCTAAGCTCTGGTGTGTAAATTTCGTTAGAAAAAATGTTCCAAAAGACAGATTGTCTTTACCAGCCAAAAGACAGATTGCCTTTACAGGCAAAACACATTGTCTCGGTGGCTCTGATGAATCTCTATCTCTTGTCAGAGCAAAAAGACACGGGAGCAGCCTTGGAATGATGATGCATTGTCTACAAATCATGGAAAGTCTTTAGAGAATGCGAACGATTCAAGATTTGAGAAGAAACGCCAGAAACTGACATCTTGTGTTCCATCCTCACATCCCTGCTTTACTTCACGACAAACTACTGATTCTTTAAACCCACTAAACCGTAGAGATGATAGCTTGAAGACTTTCGAATATGTATCCCCTAAAGATGTTAGCGCAAAGACTCTCAAAGATGTTGCCCCTGGCTCAAGCAAAACCAGACCATTTATCCCAATTGGTCCTAGTTTCCAAGCTGAAATTCCGGTTTGGATTGCCCCTACCAAGAAGGGCAAATTTTATGGTAGTCCTGGAGATTCCGACACTCTTAGATGGTTAGGAACTGGTGTGTGGCCAACATATAGCCTAAAGAAGAAAGTTCACTACAAAAAAGTCGGCCAAGGAAGATCCGACTCTTGTTCTTGTGCCTGTCCAAGATCAACCAGTTGCATAAAACAACACATAAAAGAAGCACGGGAGCTTTTAGAAAAAGAAATTGACCGTGCTTTCTATACTTGGAAGTTTGATCAAATGGGTGAAGTTGGATCAAAATCATGGACCATCAAAGAAGGTCAAAGGTTCGAAGCTCTTGTGGAAAATAATCCTTTGTCAAATAGTGAAGGATTTTGGGAATCTGCTTCCAAAGCTTTCCTAAGGAAAAGTGAGAAGGATCTCCGTAGTTACTATTATAATGTTTTTCTCATCAACCGTATGAGATTGCTTGCTAACTCTTCTGATGACCACATCGATAGCGATGATGACCACAACGGTCACTTCTTAGAAGGATGAAGGCCTTGTCTATAATCGTAACCGATGCAGATATCTCTCTGGATTACAGGTAATCTAATCCTCCGTTCTACTAGTAACTCTAGTATCCAGGTTCTTGATACGTAGTAATTCAAGAACATGTTTTTTTCTCCTCCTTAAGCGTCTGGGACTTTTCAAAAATAGATCTTTAGACCATGTTTATTAGAGAGACTCATGTGGGTCTCTTAAGAATTATTTAAGTAATATTGTTTAGTTAAGATACCTATTAAGAAATTTTGGTTTATTTAGAGGTACATTGGAGAAATCGTAATGGGTATCTTAAAAGAAGAAATTTATATAAAAGGAGTTTTTTAATTGAAAATAACAAAGGTACATATTATTTGAAAACAACACAAATTTAACAGATAATTATTAATATTTGAAACAACACAAATTTAGCAATAAAACTTAGATATCGACTTGATTACTTCCAAATTTTTGCCAAATATGCTCAACCAAATCCGCTTTCAGTTGTTCATCCATTTGTTTATCCCAAACTCTAGTCCGTCTAACGAACACATCAGCAATATTTGTAGGCATGTCACTAGAATATGAGAGATCAACATGTGAATTTCCGTTTCTTTCTCCTTGTTGGAATTCAGAAACATTTTGTAGAGTGTATCTATCTCATTTATCATCTACTATCATGTTGTGGAAAATGATGCATGCTCTCATAATCTTTCCAATTTTCGCTTTGTCCCAACTAAGAGCTGGATTTTTAATAATAGCAAATCGAGCTTGCAAGACTTCAAAAGCACGCTCGACATTTTTTCGAACGCCTTCTTGATAAATAGCAAAACAAGATGCTTAGACCCTAGGGAAGTTTAATAGATTGGATATCAGACATAAGGAATTGGATTTTGAGTTCAATCGACTCAAACCACAAACCATAAAAATTTCATTTAGAGGAAGATGATAGAACAAATCGACGAAAGTGGAACCATAGATGAAATCGCTTACCTCCAATATAGCCTCGTCAGGCGTTTCTTTGATCGGAAACGGAGAGAATCGGTGCAGAAGATTTGGACTCCAAAAAGTCGAAATGTTTCGTCGGGGAAGAAATGGAAAAGAGAAAGGAAAAAAAATATTTGGGTCGCGATTTCTCCAGCCAATCACGACTCGACACGTGGTGTCTAAGAGACGTTTCTCCTGGATGCGAAATAAGAGACGTTTTTCGCGTGTTAAGCCATTTTCTATTTATTTTTTGGACCCAAAAATGTTAAGAGAACCAGTAAAAAATGACCGATAAACATGTTCTTATAGGGAAAAACACCAGTTAAATGGATTTTTCTTAAATAATCAATTCCTAGTTTTTTTTTATTCTCCATGAACCTTGGAGAGATATGTTTCACTCATGAAACATACAATATCGTGAATATTTTGAATCTGGAACCTTTATATTCTTAGATATTCTGAGGATATTAGGTAAATGTTCAAGGTTATCCCTTTTATTCTTTTATGGGCATCAAATATTCTCGATTAATATGGGGCATTCTGTTTATTATTATATGGGTTTTAAGAAGAAAGAAGAAACAATGTCATATTACTTAATCGATTTACATTGGTTTTTTCACATCGTTTATCCGTTTTGTTAATCGATTTACGACGTGTCTAATTTGACTCAGTTAACAGACTTTGAGCTTGTTTATTTTCTTAGTTGTCATTTTCATCCAAGTAATTTCCAACTGCTCCATCTCAATGATACATCTGAATACGCTTATCATTTAGTTAAAGTTCTTCTAAAAAGATATTACTTTTTTTTTTACTTTTTTTTTTTTTTGGTTTTTTATAAATTCCTCCAATAGAACATCTGAAATGAGTAGATGGAAAAATGTAGATCTAAATCAAAAATAATATGAGACTTCATTTTGCTTATAAGATTTTTCCGTAATTTTTTAGGTCTAGTTATGAGGTAAAATAAATAAGCAAGATCATCACATGTTTTTTTTAAAAAAAAAATTATGAATAGGCAAAATAAGCAAGATCAACACAATTTTGGCAAAAAAAAAAAAATTATGTTTTGATGAATAACAGCATTTTGTGGTTTTAGAATGAAAAATAAATTTTGCGGTTTTAGTAAAAAAAAATAGTAATTTCGTGGTTTTGGTGGTAAAATGTAATCTTGAGTTTTTGACGTGAAAATAAAATTTCATAGTTCAGGCATTCATAGGTTTTGGTGGTAAAATGTAATCTTGAGTTTTTGCTAAATAATTGTAAAGTGTCATTTATGTCTTCTTCGTTTGCTCATCTGGAATTTGAATCCAAGTTATCCATCTAAATAAAGGTATATTCATCATTTGTCATTTTAGACTTAACAATCTCTATTCAAATGATCCAGTTTGGTTCAGCCAAATGATTTTGAAAAAATTGACCTATATTTTTAAAATCATTCAACTGAGCCATCTAGATGTTTCTCATTTATTGCACTAAACGAACATCAATTCAATGACTAAAAAAAAATACAAACATCAATTCTTATCTTCATTCAGATGAATGAGCTGAATGAACAAACAAACACATCTTTTAATAATTTAAAATATTTATGCAACAGTTCATATTTTGAATGGCCAAAATTTAAAAGCTCATATGTTTTTTTCACAATTTTAACTTAATATATTAGGTTTTACTTTTGATCAGTCAGATCTAGAACTTTTTTTAGTCGGGACATAGTATTATAAATAACAAAAATAATTTATATAAAATATCTTTAGTTATCCTACAAGCTTCCATAATTTGGAATTTTTTTTTCACTATTTCATTTGTCACTTTCTCAAGCAATTAGTTTTTAACAAAACAAACCACATAAGTTTAACAACTAATCACTCATTCGGTTCCGTAAGACAGTCTTTACAATCTTCATTCCACCAAAATATCTTTCAATTGTAGCGATGGCTACAGGTAAAGTCAAAACTAGCTTCAAAAATCAGTAAACCAAAAGATGCAAAAATGTTTCTTTGTTTCCACCATAATCCGTGCAAGATCTTCAAGATTCTTCAAATAAGACAACCTTTCATCTTCATCGATATTGTCGATTTATACACCAAGTTAATGCTTAAAAGATACCCGTTCAACGTGATTAAATTTTTCTAGATAAAACTCAGACAATCTCATAACTTTCAACTGATCAAACTCATGAAAAGAATCAATAGGGTTCAAAGATTCAATGCAACCAACTAATTCAGTATTTTTCTTATTAAAAAGATCATAAAACTCTTGAATTTACATATCCAATACTGTGCAAGTTGGTTTTGTTGCTTCCAATTTTTCTTCCATATCCAATAGAATTGTCTTATAATTCTCACAATATGAAGAAATTTTGTTGATAAGAGATTTCCATCTATTATTCATGAGCTTGTACAATTGTTGTTTGGTGGATTTCACTAGTGACATAGCATTCATAATATCTTGGTCTTTCTTTGTAAAGTCTTCGATAAATTATTTGTGAGTCCAAATAGAAGCAGCATCGACTGTAAATAGAACTCAAAATCAAAAGTGTGAAAGTATTTGATAAGACCATTAGCTTGGTGTGTTTTAATACTATTAGTTTCATCACTTTCGACATACTCCAACACTTTAATGATAGAAGAAAGTAGATCAACCAACCGCAATAATGTTTATAGTAAGATCCCAACGAGTTTTACCGGATGAATGGAAAGCTCCTAAATCAACTTTTTTCATGTTTTAATTTCACGAGTTTTGATTTTTTTTCTTAATCCTTTTTCGATAGTCTTCTTGAACCATATCCTTTCTCTTGCAAGAAGCTCCAACAACATTTACAAGACCGCAATCATGTCAAAGAAATCCTTAACTTCAAAATATTTTTTAGCTATTGCAATAAGTTCTCAACCCATTGAATTCACCCTTCACATTACACGCTCCATCGTACCCCTGCCCTCTTAAATTGTCATACTCAATCCATGTTTAACAAAAAAATGAATCAACAACATAATTGAGAGATAAAGACGATGTTTCTTTCACATGAACAAGACCAATAAAACTTTCTTTAATTATCCCATGTTTATCAGCAAAGCAAAAGACCACTGCAATTTGCTCTTTATCAGAAACATATGCAGATTCATCCACCAACAAACAAAATACATCATGATCAACTTCTTGAATAACTGACTCAATAACTTCCTCTGTAAAACAATGAACTATGCTGTCAGCTATTCAAGAAGTTGATCATGGTTTATTTTGTTTATTGGTGGATGAATCTGCAGATATTTTTGTTAAAGAGCAAATGACAGTTGTCTTTTGCTTTGTTGACAAACATGGGATAGTTAAAGTTTACTAGCCTTGTTCATGTGAAAGAAACATCGTCTTTATCTCTAAAATGTGTTGATTCATTGTTTGCTAAACATGGATTGAGTATGAACAAGTAAAGAGTGCAAATGTACGATGGAGCGAGTAATATGAATGATGAATTCAATGGGTTGAGAGAAAATAAATTTGCCTATTATGTTCACTATTATGTTCACTATTTTACTCATCAATTTCAATTGGTTGTTATTGCAATAACTAAAAAAAAATTTGAAGTTGAGGATTTATTTGACATGATTGTTGTCTTGTTAAATGTTGTCGGAGTTTCTTGCAAGAGAAAGGATATGGTTTGAGGAAAAGTCCAAAAAAGGAATTAAGACAAGTAAATGGTTGAATCATGAGCTTTCATTTCAAAGATCCGGTAAACTCGTTGGGGATCTTACTATAAAACATTATTGCGGTTGGTTGATCTATTTCCTTATATCATTAAAGTGTTCGAGTATGTTGAAAGCGATGAGACTGATAGTATTAAAAGACGTCAAGCTAATGGTCTTCTCAAATACTTTCACACTTTTAATTTTATGTTCTATTTACATAAATAATTTATCGAAGGCTCTGCAAAGGAAAGACTAACATATTCTGAATGCTATGTCACCAATGAAATCCTCCAAGTAAAAATTGTACAATCTCAGGAGTAATATATGGTAATCTCTTATCAACAAAATTTCTTATTTTTGTGAGAATTATAAGACACAGCTCTTGGATATTGAAGAAAAATTCATTGATTCAAAGAAGGCAAGAATGGGAAGCAACAAAACTAACTTGCATCATTACAAGGTGAAATGCTTTTACACTATATTGGATATGCAAATTCAAGAGTTTAATGATTCTTTTGATTAGGTAAATACTGAATTACTTGGTTACAATGAATCTTTGAGCCCCATTGATTCATTTCATGTGTTTGATTAGCTGGAAGTTATGATATTGTCTGAGTATTATCCATAAGATTTTAGTCATGTTGAGTGGATATCTCTTGAGCATCAACTTGGTATATACATCGATAATGTTCGGGAATATGTAAGATTTTCTAATTTGAAGGATCTGAAGGATCTTGGAGATCTTGCACGGGTTATGGTCGAGACAAAAAAAATATCTTTTGAATCTTCTGGTTTACCGATTTTTGAAGCTAGTTTTGACTCTACTTGTAGTCACCGCTATAGTTGAAAGATGTTTTTCTAGGATGAAGATTGTGAAGAATATCTTACATAGTCGAATGAGTGATCAGTTTTTAAATGGTTGTGTGTCGCTTGTTTTGTTGAAAAAGTATTGTTTGAGAAAATGACAAACAAAGTAGTGATGAAAAGGTTCCAACATATGGAGCTTCATATGATAACTTGTATGCTTAGTTTAAGATATTTTATAAAATTATTTATGTCATTTATAATATTATGTCTCCGATTAAAAAAGTTTTAGAATTGTCACTGCTATGCACTACATTTAGTGTGGTCACAATTTATCTTTTATTATGTTTTTCATATCTAAAAATATTTATAGTATCTTGGAAAAATAATAATAGTATATTGGGTGGATAATTCATATAGAGGAGAATTTCACCCTAAATGTTTTGGAATTTTATATTTGATAATTTTTTTGGTAAAATTTTC